CGCATTCTCCAGGGTTTGGGTTTTGATCATGTGGCGCAGCAACGCCCCGCCTCGGATTTCTCCGGTGGCTGGCGTATGCGCGTGGCATTGGCCGCGGTGCTCTTTTCGGCACCTGACCTTTTGTTGCTCGATGAGCCGACCAACTATCTCGATCTTGAAGGCGCGCTTTGGCTAGAAAGTTATCTGGCCAAATATCCTTACACGCTGATGGTCATTTCCCATGACCGTGATCTTCTGAACAGTGCGGTCAACCAAACGCTGCATCTGGATCAGCGTCGGTTGCAACTGTATGGCGGCGCTTTTGATACGTTCGATAAGCAGCGGCGTATTCAGTTGGCCGTGGAAGAGAAAGCGCAGGCCAAGCAGGCGGCGCGCCGGGCGCACATGCAATCGTTTGTGGACCGGTTCAAAGCCAAGGCTTCCAAAGCCAAGCAGGCGCAAAGCCGTTTGAAAATGCTGGAAAAGATGGAGCCGATGGCGCTGCGCCAAGACGAGCGTGTCGCCCCGTTTCATTTCCAAGGGCCAGAAAAACCCAAAGCACCGCCGCTGATCAATGGGCGTGATTTGGCCGTTGGCTATGAAGACGACAAAGCCATCCTATCGCGCATGACGTTCCGCATTGATCCGGATGATCGCATCGCGCTGCTCGGGCAGAACGGCAACGGCAAATCTACCTTCGCCAAGATGATTGCCGGTCGTCTCACCCGCCAAGCGGGAGACCTGACGTTTCCGGGCAAAATGAAGGTGGCGTTTTTTACCCAGCACCAGCTTGATGATCTCAATCCCAAAGAGTCGCCCGTCGATACAGTCCGTAAACGCATGCCCGAAGCGGGCGAAGCCAAAGTGNGCTTGGCCTCATCAGCTTTGATGGCTCGGACATTCTGATCCTCGATGAGCCGACCAACCACCTAGATATGGAAAGCCGCGAGGCGCTGGTGGAAGCGCTGTCGGAATATAATGGCGCCGTAATCATCATCTCGCATGACCGTCACCTGATAGAGGCCACCGCTGATCGGCTGTGGGTGGTCGGCGATGGCACTGTGAAACCGTATGAGGATGATCTTTCGGCCTATCGCACCGCTATCCTGCGCGGTGTTGATGGCGGCAAACAGAAGGCGGGCAAAACGTCAGGCAAGCCGAAAAAAGCTGCTCCCAGGCCAG